CAGAGGGGCCGGGCCGGGCCCGGCTCAGCCCCGCGGGCGCCCCAGCAGCACATCCGGAGCCGCTGCGGGGGAGCCCCCGGTACCGAGTGCCTGGGGGGGGCAGCCCCCACGGAGCAAGTGGGCCGTAGCAGCCCCTCGCCTTGTGCCAGGGGCTCTCTTTGGCCCTGAGGTCCCTGGCAAGAGGCTCCTGAGCATTCCTGTGCCTCCCACTCCTCGACCAGATGGGAGGCAGAACCCTTCGGACGGGCACAGCAGCCCCCGGCCGGTGGGCACGTGATGCCTTCCACATGGTGGCCACGGTGGCCGGCAGCGAGGGGATCGCTATGACTCACCCGCCGCCTACACCCGGCTGCTCCTCATACCTAGGCAGGGGTAGTCAGCCGGCAGCCCTGCTCCGGGGGCGAGGGGACACTGCCGCTCTGTTCGCCTCGCTGGGGGTTCATGCCTGACTCCTCTCGCCCGGCTCAGGACTGGAGAGTGTCCCGGGGCCTCTGTGGGGCTGGGACAGGGCTGAGGAGGGCGACCTGTACCTGTGCCTTGCACATGTGTCGTGATGAGATCAGTAACCTGGCACCAGGAGGAGCATGCTCTGCCCTGTTCAGTTCATCTTCCCTTTTTTCCTTTTTTTTTTTTTTTTTCTTCTTTCTGGCTGTGCCATTAGACAAAAAAAGAAACCTGCAAAACTGGGCTGATCCCCTCACCTGCGAGGGGATGCAGCCCCCAGAAAACAGTTACCCTTCCTGCTGGGAGGGAGATGCCCCAGCCTACTCCTCTGTGCATCCCCTGAGGAGGGGCCATGTCCTAGGGCTGCCCCTTGGCACCTTTCTCTGTGCCACAGCCTCTAGAGTGCCTGAGTAGGGGGCAAGCAGCAGCATCCCCCTGCCTACTTGGGCTGGACCAGTTTTCCTACCAGCAACATCTTCCAGATCTTCTCAGGCTGCCCTAAGGGACAGAACCCTGAGGAGGAGGGGTGGTAACAGTGGAGGTGGCTTGGGGGGATCAGAAGCACTGTGTGTCTTCTGGCTGAAGCTGGGAGATAACCTGCAGGGGAGGGACAGCCTCTGCTGCCAGCCTGGGGCAGAGACCTGGACCTCACCTGGATCTGGGGGTTTCTCCAAGTCAGTTTCCTGAAGTATTGCTTTTCTCCAGGCATGGTGTGAATGATGTCCAAATCACAAAATAACTTTGCTAGGTGCAAAACTGGTGTGCTGCCGCACGAGAGGCGCTGGATACATCAGGAAGTGGCTGAGAATGAATTAGGCAGGTTACAACTTGCCAGGTTAGACTCGGCTGTGCTCCTCCCTGAGCCACACAGGCCTTAGTTCATGTTTCCCCAGGCTCGCTGGAATTCAATGCCATGGTTTGGGGGGAGCTGAAAAGCCTCTCTGAGCAGTGAGCGCACTCTAGCATCTTGATACCTTGCGAGATCAAACTGGGGGCTCATTTTTTTGGCATCTACACATCTTAAAACTATTCCAGTCACGTTGCTGGCTCTGGCCTGTGTCCAGGTGAGGAGCTCAGTGCTCTGGTTCCCACCAACCTAGCAGAGATCACTTTGCACCAAGAGCCACCAGTCTCTGCACTGCAATTAAAACATACCTTTGTCATTAATGGGAACGCTGCCCTTGCCACCTCTTTGGCTCTGCAAAACCAAAAACTAAGCCAGGCTTGCTCTCTTAATCCTGCTCTGGGTGCACAAGGCATCCTTGTACCCAGAGGAAGGAGAGTCCATCAGAGCTATTAATAGGGTCTTACAAAAGACTACGCTCATCAGGGAAATAAAAGCCAGATAAAGGGGCAATTAGCAATTTTCTGTGTTCAGTGGAAACTGGTGCATACAAGAGTAACATTTGAGATGCATAAAGCTCTGTTCCCTCCTCCCTGCCCCAATTCCTTTATTTCCTTGAGAATTGTTCTCATGAATTGGAAAGGCCATGATATTTGTGAGAAGCTGAAAAAAAAAAAAAAAAAAAAAAAGAAAAAAAGGAAAAAAGCCCCCTCTGCTCGGGGGCAGATTGCTGCACAAAAAGCTGCAGGAGTGCCAGGGCTGAGTTGGCTGCAGCAACCCAGGGCTTGCTGCTCTGCCTTCTCTTTGGCTGACGCATGGAGGTGATCTGACTGCTGTCTTTCCAAATTGTTTTCCAGTTGCTTTCCTGTCAAAGCCTCAAGGCCTGGTTACTCCCAAGAAAAAAGGGAACGGGAATAAAAGAAGAAAAGGCAAAGGCCTGGGAAAGAAGAGAGACCCATGCCTGCGGAAGTACAAGGATTTCTGTATTCATGGAGAATGCAAATATATCCGAGAGCTGGGAGCTCCGTCCTGCATGTGAGTTGTTGGCGTGTGCCTGTGCCGAGGGAGCCTTAGTCACGGTTCCTTCAATTCTCCAGGCCGGGCAGAGGAAGAGCAGAGGAGATATTTTTAGACCATGTTCCCCATCTGTGCAGGGACGGCTCTGACTTGGCCTCTTCCTTGTGCTTTTTGATCAACGTCCACCCCCCACCAAAATCTGTTGTAGACTGAAACCCAGCATCCCCTGCCAGCACAGCAAGCTCCAGCAGAGCTGCTGCACGGAGACCTGTGGCAGTGGGGGTTCAGAGGGTGGTGAGCAGGGGCTGGGGGTCTCACAGCCAAGGTCTTCTGTGGGTCTGGTTTGTGAGACCCTATCCTGACTCTGTAAGCCCATGTCCCCCCGTCCTGTGCTGCTGCCAGCCTTGGCTGAGAGCTTGGGGCTCCCATCGCTGCCAGGGTGTGCTGGTGTAGGCAGGAGGACACCTCCACTGTGGCACCAGCAAGGGGGACTGAAGACAGCACCTTTGAGGACAGTCTGCCAAAGCCACACCCAAACTGTCCCTTGGCCCTGGTGAAGGACAGGGCTATGTATCCCTTCTGGGCTGCAGGTAGAGAGCAGGGACTAGTTGAGGCACATGGAGGAGAAAGCGTTTGCCTGCTGCTGGGGCACCTGTATCCAGCACTGCTACTGTGGGAAATACCCAGGGGTGCACATTTGATCCCTGCTGACGTGGGCAGGAGTTGAGCTGGCAGATATGTAAGAGGCTTTGTTCTTTGCTATCAATCCTCTGAGCCACCCAGCAGTGTGCCCAGAGCCTGGGGAAGATAATAGCTCCCTGGCTTATGGTGCCCACAAGATCTCACGCCCTGCAATCCTCGGGGATCAGGCTCTGCATAGCTCCTTGAACCACTTAGTTTCCTGCTGTCTGGAAACTGTCATGAAGTTGGGCCCTTGCATGGGGGGCTTGGGACTGCCAGCAAGAGGAGATCCCTGCGGCTCAGCTTTGGTGGGTGACAGTGTGATGGTGGGGTGCAGCACCCTCTGCCTGGGACTGGGACACCCAGGCATCCCCTGACCACATCTCTGCCCTTCCCAGATCCCTGGGGCTGTGAGAATACCTGGGACACAGGCAAGCAGGAGGGGGCCAGGGGCCAGCTGGGGCTCTCCAACCTGGTGGCCTATCCCTGCGTGACATCTCCTCAGAGCCATCATGGCTTTTAGGAACAGTGGCCAACTGCTCCTGTCCCCTCTGATAATAAAGCCTTGTATTGGCTGGTGACACTCAGTTGTGGATGCTCTTGGTGGCTGGCTACCCGTGTCACAGGGTCTCCCTGTTGTTGCTTCCTTGGGTTTGTATCTGAAGTGCAGGTTGGGGTGAGGATGGTGCCAGGCTGGGTCCTGCACCTCTGCCTTGTGCCCAGCTTTGGTGCTGTGGCTGCGAGGTGATGTTGGCACAGGCAGGAGGGCTGGGCTGAGACCCTATCTTAGAGATAAGCTGGAGGGTCCGTGACTCTGGATATAGTGATATATAGATATATCTGGTCGCATCAGTGCGCTTTGACTCACAGGGAGGTTTGGCAGCCTTGCAGCTCTGTTGGGGAATGTTATTTCTGTTATGTGAGTAACCTCCTGAGTCTGCAGGGAGGTGGCACCTCTCTGGTTGGCAGGGTGTGCAGGGACATCCTGCTCTGAGGGAAGTGCTGAGCTCTGGTCCAGCTGCCCCTCTGCTCCCTTGTGTGGGACTTCCCACTTCCAGAGGTGGCCTAGGCAGCCCAGCTCTGCCCAGGGATGATTGGGAAGAGCACAGACCCCAGTGCCTTCTACTGGAGGGAGTTCAACCTTTCTAGGAGTCTTCACTTGATGCTTAGGGCAAGAGAAATGTAATCTACGAGTACCAAGGAGGTGATGGTGACACCAGACCTCCCAGCTCAGGGGAGGTGGACCAAGGGGAATGGGTAGGGCCCTAGCTAAAGCTCAGCAAAGAAGCAGCTCCTTTCCATGAGGCACCCAATGACCTTCTGTCCCTGATCACCACAAACCCAATGACCTTCTGTGCTTGGTCACCACCAGCCTTTAAGACTTTTCTTCTCCCCCAGATGTCAGCCAGGATATCATGGAGAGAGATGTCACGGCCTCTCGCTGCCTGTAGAGCACCCCCCAAGCACGTACGACCATACCACAGCGCTGGCTGTTGTTGCTGTTGTCCTGTCCTCCCTGTGTCTCGTCATCATAGCAGCCCTGCTGATGCTCAGGTGAGCGGGATGGGGCAGAGCTGTTGGATCTGTGTCCCTGGGAAGACAACATGCAGGGGAGGGTGGCAGGGACTTCTCCATGCTCTGAGCATTTCTTTGCTTGGCTTTACAGGTGTCACAAGAGGGGTGTATACGATGTAGAAAACGAAGAGAAAATCAAGCTGGGCATCAGTGTGAATCACTGAGGATGCCAGGTGCTGGCGAGGTGAGTGCCTGGCCAGGCATGGGGCAGTGGTGGGGCTGGTGGACATCTGGGGGCTCTGCTTGTTCCTGCTGGCTGGGATCACTGTGTGGATCCTATGCCAGAGCCAGGCAGGAGCTGAAGGCAGTTTGAGCCTGGAGAAGCACTCACTGGATTTGGCCCAAGAGCCTGACAGCCCCATAGGGCTCCAGCTGCCTTTCCTCCCCTTCCTGCTCAAGCCTCTGTCGCCTGACACCCCCAGCCACCATCACCTCCTCCTTTCTAACCTGAACTCCCTGCTTTGCCCTGCTGTTGCATGCTTCAGGGACATTTGGCAGTGGGTAAGCTGCTTCTGTTTTTTTTTTTTTTTCTTTCACTTGTTCTGCTCCCTCTGACCCTCTGAGTCACTTCCCCTCCTTAGATATTGCCTCTATTTATATATATTAAAAAAAAAAAAAACCAAAAAAAAACACCAAAACCCTTCCTTTTCACTCCCACTCTGCTTACTGCTTACACTAGTGTAGTGCCTTGCAGCAGGGCATGGGGGATCTTGATGCCAGCCCCACGTGATGTTACTCTGGCTGGGCGGTGGGGTGTGCTCTGCCCCAGGGGTGGCCCCGTGGCTGTGGCCCGGTGCTGGAAAGCTTGCAGCCTTCCTCTCGTCTGGTCCAAACCCTGATTAGATGTGCCCCTATGTATTACAGTGATTTTTTTTTTTTCTTTTTTTAAAAAAAGAAAATCTTTGTGTCCTCACAAATGTAATGCCTTCAGAGAATTTCTGTAATGCTGGTAATAGTGTTGGGGATGGGATTTTTAGTTGTTCATAGGAGTTGAACTTTGAGGAAGGGGGTTCAGCAGCACAAGGTTTTCATCACTGTCCATCTGCCCTGGGGATTATTGGGGTGGATAGTGCTGTGGTCCTTGAAAGGGATGTTGGGATGGGATGCTTAGCCACCACTCCCCAGCGTCCTGACTCCCGTCCTGCTGGGTGGCAATGAGTGTGCTTTGGTGGCTGCGAGGGCTCTCCTGCAGGCTGGGTGGGACAGACCTCTTGTCCATGCCATGCAGGAGCCATGCCACAGGCAGAGCAGCCTGGGGCTGTGTTGTGAGCTCTCCCCACTCTCGTGCAGGAGTCGGCACTATTGCACTTCTACCTCCTGGAAGAGGCGAGAGCTGTGGAACCAGCACCGGCCCTGGGAGCCTGCAGCATGGTTGGGAGCTTGCTGGAGCAGCAGGATAGTGGCATCACTGCAGGGAGCTCGGGCTCGGGAGAGGCGCTCGCTGACCGGCGGCTGTGCGGAGGCAGGAGGGATCGGCCTGCTGGCAGCAGAGGGGCTCTCTGGCAGCTCTCCATCCACTGTGGTGCATGTTGAGGAACAAACTGTGAAAGGCCAGGAGAATGGGCTCGGGGCTTTCTGAGGTGCAGGAGGGGTGGGAGGGTAACAGCTATTTAACAAGATATTTTTCATTTTAAATTATATATTTATTTTAGATAAACTGTACATAGTATTTATATTTATTGTGGGTCTGGCCCTGCATTCTTCATGTAGGTCAAGATGGCAGGATCAGACCTCCCTTATTTTTTAAGTGCAATGTAATATTCTAATAAATAACACTTTGTTACAAACACTTGGCTTGTTCATTTAATGATGGAGGTGGAAAGGAGTCAGACCTCTGAAGACTGCATGTAGCAACATGCCCTTTCTAGTGGCATATTGTGACCAGTGGCAGAGGTCTTGAGTGCACAGCAGGGGTTGCTGGATTGGCTTGTGCCATCTTTGGGGTGCAGCAGAGCAGCGTGGTGCAAAGGGATGGTGGCAGGATACATCCTGCAGGAGCCTGCAGCCAGGCCAGCCCCATTTGTGTTTCTTTGGAGGTTTGCATCTTTGCCAGCTGATACCCTGGGAGGGATGTGATGTTTACTCATCACACAAAGCTGCCTCTGGTATGAGTGAAGCCACTCTGGCCACTGATCAATCTAAATGGGACTGATTCCTAGTTTTAAGCCAGCATTTGGCTAAAAAATCAAGATGTGGACTCGCACCTCCCTCGCAGGGTATCCCAGCAGTTCCTGGGGTGGCTGCAGGCACCTGGGGCTGGGATCATTCCAGTGAGCATCATTTCAGAGGGTGATTGAGAACTGATTCCTGACTTTGCAGTAAAAATAACTCCTAAATCATTATTTTATCTTCCCTGATCTTTAGTGGGGGTAGCTGAGATCAGGGTGAGATGCTGGGTCTAGTAGAGAGACTTGAAGCAGAAAGAAAGGGCTTCCCCTCCTTGCAGCAAATCTGCTTTCCTCCAGGCATCTTCCCTTCAGCAGATGTCAAACTTCAGTTTTCAAAGGGGAGTGCTTTCCACTCCTGTTCCTACAATGTGCACCAAAGCATACTACAAGTGAGTAGGCTGCAGAGCTTTTTGGCCTACTTTAGCCAAAATAGGCAATAAGCTTTTATGTTCACTGGGCAAAGGGTTGCTTAGGAAGTGAGTGTGTAGGTTCATCCCTCTTGCACAGCTGCTAAATTTTGTAGTAGCAAAGCCTGGGGCATGGGAAGGGGGAACACTTTGGTTTTCCAGTGCTTCCCAAGAGGGAGGGGCTAAAGTGCACAGCTGTGGTGGATGGGAGTGGGTGGGTGACAATGGGCACCCTACTGTGCTCTCACCTGGAGAGTAAAAGCCCCAGCAGCTGCAGTGGCCTAAGTCCCAGAGCCTGGGAAACAAGTTACTGGTTCTACTTTCTGCAAACCTGAACCTTAACTATGTGGGAGTGCCAGTCTAATCAAGAGACTCCAAACTTTGGCCTTTTTCAATGTCTATTAAGTAAATAATGCCTCCAGCTCCTGTGCAAGAGGCCTCTCTGCTCCAGGTTGCCTGGCTGCATCCCTGCCTTGCTGTGCTGCTGCTGTTCCTCTTCCCAGAGTTGTTCCCTGCTCCAGCCCCACCAACTTTCTGCCTTCCAGGGTGGGCAGTGCTGCATGCCTGGGGCTCTGTGCCACCCTGGTGGGCACTGGGAATAGTTCTGCTGGAAGATTTTCCTGCAGACAGCCTGTAGCCCAGCTGCTCTCTGCCCTCCTTCTTCCTTGCAAGGCTGTTTTGGTCCACTTTGCAGGCCAGAAGTGCAGGCTGGGCTGCCCACAGATGGTAATTTAACAGGCCAAGAGATGGGAGACATTTTGGAGATGCAGGGAGTGGGAAGCTGGCTGGATCCATGGGCTGGGTCCCTCTGCCCCGCTGGGCTGGGAAAATCTGACAGCCCTATGGATGCTCTCTTCCTGGCTAAGGCAGAGATGAAGACCTTGCAGTAGCTCCCCAGTTCAGTGCTTGTGGACACGAAACAGGAGGTTCATGGGGCTCTGCCCTGCCCAGGATGCACACACACTGCGGGGGGGGGGGCCAGGCTGCTTGTCTAACCGTGCTTGCAGAAATGGGGTGCCCGGAAAGCAGCCTCCAACACCCAGCTGTTCCACATCCCCCCTGGACAGGAGCAGGCTGCTGCAGCAGCTTGCCAAGCTGAGTGCTGGCGGGGATCCTGGTGAAGGCAGGCAGTGGCCTCCAGCAGCCCCAGCTCAGCAGCTTGGACCTTCACCCTCCTTTGGGCATGGATCCAGGAACACAAACATGTCACCAGCTGCAGCATTTCCTGACTGCCACAGTGTCAAGCCCACTTGCTGCCTCTGTCACTGACTCTATACTGCGACCTCCGGCATCTCTCCTAGATCCCCTTGATGCCTGTGCCTCTCTACAGATGACAAAACATGTGCCCAGCCACTAAACACCATCACCTGGTGTGTCCCCCAGCCCCTCACCTGGGCTCTCTTGGTCTCACTGTGGACAGAGACCACGTGCCTGAAGGAGAGCCCTGCAGCTTCTCATCAGTCTCCTCTCCAGAGCAAGGATCAAAGCTAGGAGACCTCCAAAATCCCAAATGTGGATTTAATAAGAAATTGCAATATACTGCATTAGTCAGTTTAATGAACAATTCTCCCCTACCTGCCCCAGTGCCTTGGAAGCTGTGCTTCAAATGCCTTTGGCCATCAGTTGCACAGGGTTTGGATGGAGGGTGCAGCAGTGGATTGGAGCAGGGATGAGGCAGCCAAAGAGACACCCCAAAAGTGGCTGAACCGCCTCTGCTGCCTCCCGTTGGAAGCAGGTGGCAGCAGTCCTGTGCACAGCTCCGTTTGGCTGATTTTCCTCCTGACAGGTTGTTGGCTTTGCCCAACTCCTCACCCAGCTGCTAAGCCCTGAGCCTGTGATGGGCTTTGCCACAGTGAGGCATCACCCATGGGTTCACTGCCACTGCAGAGAAGGTGACACAAATCCCCTCAGGTGCCTGCAGAGTTGGGGGCACAGCAGAAGGCCACACACCGTGTGTGGCTGCCCTCACAGGCAGGGGGGACTGTCCCCCAGGTCCAGCTCTGTGCCAGGGGAGGCAGGCAGCTGCAGCGGCTGGGAAGAGCTGGGGAAGGCACTGAAAAGGGCAGCTGTGCTCTGAGAACAGGGTCTGGAGGTCCCTGAAGCTTGGATCCTGCACTCTGCTTTTTAATAGGAGCGTTGCAGCAGGCTCCCCTTGCCTGCTTCTGGCTGCAGAGTGGCACAGTTTTTGCTACCTTCACCCAAAAGTCATCTGATAATCATGATCTCACACCTTACTTGAGCCCATCTGGGCAAACTCCAAGGAAACCTGAAAGGAGGTTGCAGAGAACTGGGAATGAGGCCCTCCGCGCCTGCGCACCAGGAGGCGGTACCGGCTCCCCCCGCGCAGACGCCTTGCGGGACAAGATGGCGGCGCCCGTAGACTTGGAGCTGAAGAAGGTATAAGCTGCTGTGCGGGGGGCGGTGTGGCGTTCCCGTGGCTCGGGGGTGTCCGTCTTTACTCCTCCGCCTCTGCAGCCTGGGCTGTGTTCGTGCCCGGCCGCAGCCGCTAAGGGCTGCCCCTCATAGCCGCTCTCTCTTCTCTTCCCCGCAGGCGTTCACCGAGCTGCAGGCCAAGGTGATAGACACGCAGCAGAAGGTGAAGCTGGCCGACATCCAGATCGAGCAGCTGAGCAAGACGAAGAAGCACGCCCATCTCACCGACACGGAGGTCATGATGCTGGTCGACGAGACCCGCATGTATGAGGGTGTGGGGAGGATGTGAGTACCTGCCCGGGCTGTGGGCCAGCCGGTGCTGGGGCTTCCTCGCCGTGCCGGAGCAGCCGGCTCGCTCCTGCAGGGATGGACCTGCCTTCTGCGGGGAGCCAGGCCGTGGTTATGGCCATGTCCGCAGGGAGAACTCCTCAGCCTCTGTTTAAGAGGCCTCTAGGCAGCTGATTTGTGCAGGAGGCTCTTCCCTTTACAAAGAACATGCCAGCTTTCTCTCAGCATGTTCATTTGTTTAATTTTTCTCGTCTTTCCTTTTGACTTCTAGCAATCTGCCTGAGAATGCAGTGAGACTTACTGAGCTTTATCTCTTGGGGTTAGCTACCAACTGCCTTGAAGAAAGGCTGTAGTAAATGCTATTGGCTTTCTGTGATTTTGCTTGCTGGCTCTGCTCCTGGTCGTGATGGTCTTGTCTGCCATCTCTGTAAAGTTTGTCATCTGGACTAGCGGAGCAGCATTCTAATGTCAAACAGCATTTATGAGAAGACTCTCACAGATCTGTCCATCATCAGTCATTTCCAATGTAGTTTACGCCAGCCTCTTTGGAAAACCCCTGTGCACAGTTCATGTGCTCAGGCTTTGCTTGCGTAAATGTTCTACAGGAATGCCCTTTGCAGTATTGTGCCAGGGAATGGATCTAACTGACATTGCCTGGATTTTTTTAAACCCTTGGAAGTGAGCATAAAGCTTATACAGGTAGTCCCAGTGCACTCATAAAAATGTGCTTCCTTATATTGGATGGCTGTCAAATGGAACACCTTAAACCAGAAGCAATGCATTTTGATTAACTTCCACAATGCACTGCTAATACAAGACCATACAAGCAGTTTCAAATCTGAAATGTGCTTACTTGATAAACATTTCACTAGATTTCTGTGTTTCTGATTTGAGAGTGCTATGATTTTTCTCTTGCTTCTTGTGAGTTGGGTAACAGTGATCAGGTCAGCTCGGGATGTGGTTTTGCGAAACGCTGAATCTGCTCTGACTGCTGCAAAAAAGGGTGATTTTATTGACCTCTTCCCCGCCCTGTGTTTAACCCATCTTTATGTCCAAGTGGACCATCACAGGATAAGCCAGGCCAATCTACAAGTGCCCGGATCCATCTGACTATGCAATCTCCAGATTGAGTTGTAGGGAGGTGTTGGGACTGGGAAGCCAGGAATGGTTTGTAGTTTGCCCTTTGTTGCAAGTTTTCGGATGAAGTTGTACCCAGGCTAATGGAAGTGTTCAGTGTGATGGAGTCCCCTTCTTGACTCCTAGTAAATAAACTTTTCCATTTGGGTGAGTTAAATGGTGGGTTTGTGTGGGGATGCTAGTGACTGGTACCTTAAAAGGAGATAGATATTTGTCATTTACAAGAGGTGACTGGTTTGACCTGGGCAGGCTGTAGGCATAGCAAACACTTCTGGTTAGAGCAGCCATGAGACAACTCATAAGGGTTTTTTCTGTTTGGTTTTGTCACAGAGCAGACAGATGAAGAGTAGAAGATAATTCCGGAGTCAGGTTTTTTTAAAACTTTTTCAAAATTGGGAAGTCCAGGATAATTCTCCTATATGGAAATTTCCTCAAGAAACTTTAAAAATGTGGGTGTATTGGACTTTATCATAAAATAATCCTGCTTGTGAATCAGATGTGGGTAGCAGACGGTGTTTTGGCACTGGCTGAAATGCATTGTCCTGCTTTCTGCTCTACCTTCTACTTTAGGAGTAAGAGATACTTAGCTTCTTCATGTCCTAAACCATTTGCACTTCCCCTGTGTGGAGCAGCTGCAGTAGTGACTGTCTTCTGAAGGGTCTTCTTTTGCATGCCTTTCCATGACCACACAGAGGTATGGCAAGCAGTTCTCACTTGTCAGGGATGGCAGAGGCACTATTAGAAAAATATTTGCATTATGACAATATTTAAAAGCTGAACTTCTCATGAGCTTTGTTGTACTAGTCGCTATGCAAATATAGATTGAGAGCTCTTCTGAATACTACTCATTCACTTCCCCACCCCCCTGCCTTGGCTTGATATGGTATTTCTGTGAGCTCTGCCTGTTCTGGCCATGGGGCTGAAGGCTGCCTTGCCAACTGGCAATAATGCTCCGGAGTGACCTGTGTCACTCCCTAGTCTGGAGAACGTGCACCAAGGACACAAGGTTCTTCCTGGAGCCCACTCCAACCCATAGTAGAGAATTTATTGCTGAAATCTTGGCCTTTAGCAAAGTAAAGCAGCCCTGGAGCAGGAGTTGAAATGCAAGGGCAGGGTGGCATCTTGTGTTCACTGGAGACCAAAGGAGGTCGCCATTGTAGTTCTTCTGGACTAAGCTATGTTCTGTGAACTGGAATTGCAGATTTTTTAATTTGTTGGTGTCATTGGCTTGCACAGATGTGGGAGTTCAGCCACCAAAGGGCTCTATATGGTGTCTCAATTTCTTTTGCATAGCCTGGCATGTAAGTGTTAGACCTCCAGTTGGTTTCAGTTATCCAGAAAGGGTGAAGGTCTGCATCACTATTAACTGATTATTGGTGATCTTCTGACAGCTTGTTTGAATAGCTAAATTCTTTGAAACTATTTCTGTGCTCAACTCTTCCTCCCCGCCTTTCTTTTTTTTTCTTCTTTAACCCATTTAAGCTGCTACTTAGAATCTGGCTTATGAAAGAATTTATCTGACTTTTTTTTCTTCCAGTTTTTGTGGTTTTGGGTATGTGCAGAAGGCTAGTGCATAGACTTCTGTAGGATAAGATACTCTAGGCCTCCATGGAATTTGAAGGCTTAAGGAACTGTGGTGGTGTTCTGCATCCTGGGAGGAAGTCTGCCTAATTTAGTACTCACTTCTGCACTACTTGGAAAGCGGTTGTGTGGTTTTTGTTCTCTGAACCCATATCTTGAGCCTCCTTCCCTTCTGAGAGGCTTTCCCAGCACTACTGGCAAATGTGAAAGTCTGTTTGTCATTTCAACTAGGTCTCTTTTTTTTTTTTTAAAAATACTGTAGTGTGTATAACATGTGGAGGTCTTACTGGCCTCCACATGTTGGCCTCAGTTTACTTTTGCTATAGCTATTTTTGGTTTGACACAAGAAATGTCAGTGCCACGTAGAATGAGATGATGAATTGCTGTGTACTGTACATATCCGTGAGGATGGGATATCATCTGAGTGGTGGCATCTTTCCAAATACATTTCAATTCTGTTACTTCATATTCTTTTGAAAGGCCTGTTACGTAGCCTGAGACGACTACCACTATGCTGAACTTCTGCTTAAGCTATTTGTGAACTGATATCATCATATTTCTTGAGAACTATGCTGAAAGTTTAAGCTTCAGAATTCTGTCTGAATATTTCAGATCTTTCCCTTTACATTCTTTTAACCCATAACCTGGACAATTATTTACAGAAGGAAAATGTCCAGCACTTGTGCTAAACACAGTGAGGAGAACACTGCAGTTTTTCATGCCATGCCAAAATAGTCAGTTTTGGTTTGATATTGCTCTATTATAAGTTTACTTCTACACTGAATGGGAGAACAATTACAAAAATGAAGTATAAGACAGTAAAAATCAAGCAAAAACTGTAGTACAAATATATGTTTAAGGTTTTCTGCAAGTATGTTACTTTATTATATCATGTCCCTATAAAATGACTTAGTGCAAGTATAGTATTTTATGGCAACAGCTGTAATAATATGATTTGGACTCTTTTTTTTTTTTTTCTTTAAGAGTGATTCATATTTTTGGTGGCTGAATCATACACAAATGAAACCTGAGAGAGGATTAAATGTTCTTGATCATTCCTGGGATTTAAATGTGTTCCTGCTTTAACTGCAATTCTTGGTTTTGTTTGAAAGTGAGACATCATAAAACATTGTAAGCTCTTTCCTGAACCTCTGAAGGCAGCAGTCATCATTCGATACAGCTGCAGTAGGTGCATTTTTACTTTTTGTGCGTGTATGAGATTGAGCACAGACCGCTGCAGAATATGGTAGCTGTACTGTGCTTCCCACTCACATTTCAAAAAAACTTACAAAGAACTGAAGGACACGCAAGGCTTAATCTTTATGGTTTGGTTACTAATTATAGGCTGGTCTGTGAAATTTGAGTGGCTTCTCTATTGCCTGTCTCCTTGGGTAATGCTTTGTGCAGAGCTCAGCGCTGAAGCCCAGCTGCTGAGAAGCTGACAGGTGCTGCAAAACCTAAATGAATCCCAGGGACAAGCATGTTGCTATCAGCCTCTGGTCAATATGTGGTTTATAAACTTGAAGCTCCTCTATCTAGCTGTTGAAAAAATAGAAGATCTTATTTTCCACAAAAAGTCTGGTGTGTCTACTAAGTACAATCCAGCACTGAACTGCAAAGAAAACAAAATTTGTGTTCAGCTGCTTGCTACTTGACCACGGTTTATGCTGTATGTTGACCAAGACAGGGGTGTTGGGAGATGGTGTGTGAGGAATCAGAGGCTACATGGTGTGACCTGTGCATAATCCATAAGGTTTTCCATCACCCAGTTGTTTTTTATTTCAGGTTTTTCTCTATTTTAAACTACTCATTTTTGTTGCAGCCCACAGAGTGTTCTTCACAGTGTTATGTGTGAGTAGGCCTGTAAAAGTTTGTAAGATCTTTTTAGAGAGCTGTCACAGAAAGCAAAAATTGAAACGATGCATGCAGGGGTGGTGCAGTAGTCATCTGTAGAGGTGCCTTTCACTTGAGCAGTGAAGTAAGGGGCAGCAATTGGTTGTCATCCTCTTTCTGGCTGGCCAGGAGTGAGAGTTGCACAACTGGTCAGTGGACTTCATGGTTAACTTGGTGGGATACTGGGAGTCTGCACTCCTGGATTCTGTTCTAGATCGGAAAGGGAGTTTGTTCTCTTGGGCACAGGCTCCTTTTCCAACTTTATCTCTGCTGATTTCTCAAAAGCACTCCCTCTGCCCTTCCCCCACTTAGTTCTTGAGTTTATTCCTGCTGCCCTGGGCTGCTCAGTTGTAATCTCTTGGATAGGGTCCAGTTATAGCCCTTCT